TGTGTGTGAGAGAGAAAGAGAGAGAGAGAGGCTCAGTTGCCGGCCCCACGGCAGCAGTGGGAAGGCGCAGTGCTAGCTGCCCCACTGCCCACTCAGGTTAGGCCCAGAACTACGACCTATTTTCGGGGGAGGGCCACCAGGCCAAAACTGACTGAGTGGGATTGCAACCCATGTCACAAGGCCACTCACTCAATTTTGGCCCCAGTGCCCCCCATCTTCACAATGGGATTGGGGTGTTACCCAGATGTTTTGTAACAGGGCCAGGTTCTTTGACTGGCTACCAGCATCTATTATCTGGGGAATAACCTCCCTCAGCTGACCAGGTAAGTAGGTAAACAGAAGACTTAACAAGGAAATATCTTCCAAAACAAACAAGGTTTATTTAGGGAACTTAACAATACCAGGGAATGCAAAGGGGAAAGGAAAATAAAAACAGTAAATAACTCAGTGATTTGCCCCAACAGTGGGCCTGAAGCCTGGTCCCCAAATGACCCTTGGCAATAACCAAAAGTTTGTACTTGCAGGTCCCCAAAAAACCAAGGTCCCAACGGACCGATGGGATGATGATGGACACACACAGCATCTGATGGAAGTAAGCAGCCGTCTGCAGCTGGGCTAGGTGGGTCCTGGACCTACCACTGCCTCAAGCAGTTGCCGGGGACAGGAGGAGCACAGGACCTTCAGCAGATCAGGAGCACAGGAACAGATGGTAAGTTCACTGGGTCACACACAACAAGTAAGTCTCAGGCGTAAGATGACTCGGATCGATTATGACGATGATTTGTGGTGAAGGAAACCTCCTGAACCCTGCACAAATAGATAGTTACTGGCTGCCTCTCTATCAGACAGCCACTGCTGACAGGCACACAGCCCTTATAAAGTGTTGCAAAAAGTTCCACAGAGCCAGTCTCTTCTGGAAAGTACCAAGTCCTTTAAATGTTCCATGAGCACAACAGCATCAACAACATTAATAAACACAGTAAACATGAAAATAAATACAGGTGCCTGACAGGGAGCTGTAGTGAGGCTTCCATGGGGGATGCATCCAGGAGGGGCAGAGGGGAACCCTGGGGGAGGGGGTGACATGAGGACCTTTGCCTAAAGCCCAGTGATGGGTTAATCTGGCTCTGCCCATCACCATACAAACCTGGTGGTAAATCACTGACAAGTGACAACTCCATGGCACGAGTTAGGGGAGCAGAGAGCCTGACATGGAGACAAGAGACCATCTCTGACAATCTGCTCCCTGTGCCCGTCTGCTACCAAAGTGAATCACACACAGTCAGTGTCACCAAGAAACGTCATCTGCAGCTCCTGGTCCCAGGCAACCTCTCTAGGACCAAGACCCATCACCCCCCCCCATCTTCCTCTTGATATTGGGGGGCTCTCTAGAACAATCCTCAATCTCTGTAGAAACCCCTCTTCTCCCCCGCCCTGGGGATCTGCCAGTCTCCTTTCTGCCCACTGATACTGTGGCTTCTATGCAGGACCGGGGTAGAGACCGTCGAATCGTGGAAGTCAACGAATGGCTACGCAGGTGGTGTCGGAGAGAAGGCTTTGGATTCTTCGACCATGGGATGGTGTTCCAAGAAGAAGGAGTGCTAGGCAGAGACGGGCTCCACCTAACGAAGAGAGGGAAGAGCATCTTCGCCAGCAGGCTGGCTAACCTAGTGAGGAGGGCTTTAAACTAGGTTACACTGGGGTAAGGAAGACCAAAGCCCTGAGGTAAGTGGGGAAATAGGATACTGGGGAGGAAGCACAAGCAGGAAAGTGCAAGAGGGGAAGACTCCTCTCTCAGA